TATCTATCTATCTATCTATCTATCTATCTATCTATCTATCTATCTATCTATCTATCTATCTATAGGTTCATTTTTGGATCTCAGTTTCCTCAAGGCTTTACTTTTCGTTTCAGCTTTTTTTCTAACAGTTTTTTTTCCAGTAAGTTTTCCTTTGATATTCTAAAATGCATACCGTAGTACAATAAACAGCCAGCTTCTGAGAAGTTAGTTTGAATCGCCTGTAAAACAGTTAAGTCAATTTTGTATTTATTCCAGAACAGATGTTTTTGATGAATCAGGCCGAAAAGTGTCCCGGCACAACAGATGAGTCAGTTGTAGCCCGTGTCCAGAGAGCATATGTGTGTGGTTTATCTTAAAGCATTGAAAACAACCACAGTTCTTTCGTGGTAACCTCCAGCCCTATAAAAAAACTTTTTAAATTTGCTTTGTTTTACAATTAATTCAAGACGTTAGTTCCTATCACACTTTTTCCTTCCACTGAATTTGAAATTAAGATGCACTGATTTGATCAGCCACCTTGTTCAGCAATAATGTTTTTTGGGAATTCTGAATTATTGTTGGGAATTTAAGAAGTCTAAGCCAGAACTTAACATTTCTATTTTGTTTTTTGTTTTTTTGTTTTTTATTGGTCGCTGGTAAAATTCAAGATTTCTAAACAAGAGATTGAGGGATTTCTTACCACCATTATCATTAAAATAAACAAAAATTGATGTATATCACTGTGAGTAAATTATCTATAGAATATTGATGTCTTTTTCTTTTTTTTTTTAAATAATATTCTAATTTATTGAGATGTACCTGCACATGTCTTGCATTTATTGAAGAGAATACAATGATATGGTTTCACAAGTTTCACTTCAATCATATGAAAATTCCACCAATGTCATCTGTTAATCTTGTGCCTTTGTTATTTTCTAGATCAGAACCAGCTGTGACAAACATTGCCATCAGAACATACTGCTTTTTTATTTCTCTTTACATTTTCACTCCTTAGCAGTGCATTGGTATTTAGCATCATGTAAACATCTTAAGTTTTACTACAGAATTTCTTCATGCACTACAGCTTCCAGTACAATCACTGCGTACTTGTCTCAATAGGCATATAAACATTTGCAATAACCATGCATTATATTCACATTCACATCTCTTTCACACAGTTCCTTTCACTCTTCACAGAAAAAAAAAAAAAACTTGAAGAAAAGTCTGAGCTCAGTTGCTACTAGATTATACTTTTCTAGTTTGGCTGGCAAGTATGATGATTACAGTAACTTAACAGGTTAAAAAATCTCTATAAAGCTTTTTAACATACAGATAATGTGCAATATAAAAAAAAAATCTATTTTTTTCGCTAAGACAGCAGTAAATTTGGTATAAAATACATTAATTTTTGAAACTAACAATATAAATAAGATTTCTAAAAGACAATTTATAAAAGAAACACAAACTAACAAGTATTTGTCACATACGCATTACTTGTTTTTGTGCGACGCTACTGCAGGGTCAGATCCAGGAACTGGCCTCCGGGCTTTGTGATGAGGGGAAGGGACATCAGAGAAGTTTCTCCTGCGCTGGTCTGACCCATGAGACTGTTGGTTAGCAGAGAAACAGACTCCATGGGACCCTGGAAGGAGAGGAGAAAACAGGAGAGAGAAATACGGGTTAGAGAAAACGTAGTATGGTACAAAAAGAGCCCTTCCACCAGTGCCAATGTTACCCACCACCTCCCTGAGGAGAACCCCACCTGTCGTAACCCAGCCATTAGACAAGTATTCTACGACACCATCAACTGACTGTTCATTAAACCCTTTCCCTCATAATTAATATGAAAACTTTACACTGCAGTAGATTTTGCTAACCTTAACAATTCAGATGATTTTAAGGAACCAAACTTAACTGCTGCTCTGAAACTTAAAATAAAAAAAATAAATGTGTTTAAATTTAATTATTTAAAGTAACACATGTTGAGTATAAATGGCAACTGAAGTCTATGGAGTTTACATGTTCTCCCTGGGCATGCGTGGGTTCTCTCCGGGTACTCCGGCTTCCTCCCACAGTCAAAAAACATAACTGTTATGTTGTTTGGCTTCTCTAAAGACATCATGAGGGGTGTATGTGAATGCTTGTTTGTCCTCTTTGCCCTGTGATTGACTGGTGACCTGTCCAGCGTGTACCCCGCCTCTCGCCTCTAGACAGCTGGAGATAAGCACCAGCACCTCTTGCAACCCCAGCAAGAATAAAGCATGAGAGAAAATGAATGGATGGTTGTTGGCTGTAATTATGGAGAGAAAAATCTGCCTGGTTTGAGGAAAGCAATTAATTTGTGCTACTTTTTCAATCAAACTGCAAATGAATCTACCTAAGTGATGATTTTCTTTGGCTGCATATAATAATAATGATTGAACTTTATGATCTCACACTGGATAAATTCACCTCTGCATTTAACCCATCCCCTTGGATAGCAGTGGGCTGCCATTGTGCACTGGGGAGCAGTGTAGGGTTAAGGGTCTTTCACAGGGAACCTGAGTGGCTGTCTGTGGAGATCAAACCGGGTACTTGCAACCTACTCAGAGCACAAGCACACTGCTCTAACCACTAGGCCATCACCTCCCCATCACCAAACCATTAAGAATCTGCTCCTCCTTCTTTTGTTAAAAATGCTAAACAATGGTGAATAACTAACTTATTTAGGTGACTTTGTTTAATTAGTTTTGGAAAGTGACTAATGTAAGGGTTAAGCCAAACATGTTCTTTGATATGATGTCTTTGTATTGTTACAAGTGAGCCTGTTGAACACAGGTGGAAAATATATACAATCCAGCTGCCCTCCTACATTAGAACCATGTTGTTAAGATACATATTTTCCCCCTTCAGGAGGGAAGAGAGTTCTTGCCTCAAGTGGAGGAGTGAAAATATCTTGGGGCCCTGTTCATGAGTGAGGGAAGAATAGAGAGGGAGATCGATGGATGGATCGGTGCAGCAGCTGCTATATCAATCTGTCATGGTGAAGAGAGAGCTGAAGAGAATGGCAAAGCTTTCGATTTACCAGTCGATCTACGATCATGACCATCACCTATGGTCATGACTTTCGATTGTGACCTAAATAATGTGATCCCAGAAACAGGCGGCTGAAATGAGCTTTTTCCGCAGGGTAGCTGGGCTCCCCCTAGAGATAGGGTGAGGAGCTTGGTCATTCGGTAGAGGCTGGGAGTAGAGCCACTTCTCTTCCAGACAGAAAGGAATCAGCTGAGGTGGTTGGGACATTTTTTTCAAACCACTTCACCTTTGGATGCCCCCTGGACACCTCCTTTAGGAGGTGTTTCGGGCAGTTCCCACAGGGAGGAGGCCTAAAAGACAACCCAGGACATGCTGGAGGGACTATGTCTCTCAGCTGGCCAGGGAGCACCTCAGGCTTCCTCCAGCTGAGGTGGAGGAAGTGTCCTCGGAGAGAGAAGTCTGGGAGTCTCAGCCGAGACTGCTGCCCCGGCGACCCGATCCCAGATGAAGCAGGAGACGACGAGGATGACGATATTTGTTAATATGCATGCTAAAAGCTGCAAGACAGTTCTGTTCTAAGGGTTTTAGGCCAAGCTTTTTCCAAGCTACTTATAGGACAAGGATGATATAACATTCAACTATATGAAATATGGTTACCAAAAAGAAAAGGTTAAATACTTAAATAATATAGTTGGAAAGTTATTATGGGCTATTAAAATGCAATTTAATCAATATAACAGCAACTTGAATAACTGAGTTGTTTTTCTAACATTGACAAATATAGACCGGATTTAATCAGTAGATGGGGTTTACATGTATTTTAATCTTATCATGTTTGCTAATTGCTTTTTTTTCTTTTGCAGATATTGGTTAATTTCTTTTGTGTGGGAATCACCAGAATTCATAATGAGAAAGTGAAAATATTTCTTGGATAAAAAAACAAATAACGGAAATTGTAAACCTTCTTGGTATACTTAAAGTTAAAGAGCCAATCTACTGTAAGGCAATATTTTGCTAAAAAGCTCAAACACTATCACAGCTCTATATCTTGTTGAAGCTCAGAAGTACGGTAGGTTCTTTTCTATTGCAAGTCAAAGGCATGAGTCACTTCAGTACAAGAATGGCCAATCCATTATGGAAGCTCAGTGCGCCATTAATTGCCACTGAGAGATGAGGTTTTGATTTGCAGACATTCAATGAGTTTTTAATTGGGCTATAGGCTCAACAATCCACACCATGGTGATTCAGAACATATTGGTAGAGAAATATTTGTTTGAACTCCTCTGTGAGAAATGTTGCAGATTAAAGTGAGGTAATGACAAGGTTTTGTCAAAGCATCGCTTCATACTTCGATGGATTTTTTTTTTTGCTTAAAGAGAATTCAGAGCTAGATAGTCCAGTGAGGAGATGGGCTTAAAGTGAACAGTCAGTTCTCTCTTTATCCTTTTTTTCATCGCAGAAAGACCTTTTAAAAAGGACAGCAACACACCACCTAATATTTAATAAAGAAGACATGCTAACAGTTGATCAAAGAGCTAAACCATAAGGATGATTAAAGCCAATTAATGTTTTATAAACCTCAGCTGTTCCTGAAGAGAAACAATTCGCTGTCATACTGAGCCCCAAAGCCCATATTGACCAGTCAAGCTGTTTCTGAAAGCCGAGTCTAAAGTTATTCCCCCTAACTAATCCCTCGGCCAATCCTTACCTGCCACCTGCCCCAGACACCTTAAATACACACCCATTCTTTGGGCTGTGTAAGCAACGTCCTAGCCGGGTCGTGAGTGTGCACGGCCCCTTGAGCGTGGATGAGAGCATCCTCTGGAGCATACTGTATCATAATGAAAGGGAAGGGGAGTATAGCATAGACAAATTTAGCCACATATCTTAACCTAGGAGAGTAAGACTCTCAAAGAAACCAGGATGATGGAAAAAAAAAAATCTGTATTCAATATAAGCTCTCATTTATCTCTTTTTTTTTTTTCGGTATTGGAGATTTTGCATTTTTCTCCTGCTTTAATAACACAACTTGACTTGCTCCATTTCAAGTTGAAGCAAGCCGCCTTGCATGTATGACAGAACAGGGAGAGTAGACAGGATAGACTTGTTTGATAGCCTTTAGGCAACCGCAGTGGGTGTTTAACAGTCCACACCCATAATAGCAGGAGATTTGAATAAAAAACCCAGTGCTTACAGAGAGGTGTGTGAACATTGAAGGTACAGGAGTAATGCATATGTCGAACATGAATATATGTCAGGATTTGAGAGAACTTATCCTCACCTGGTATCCTTGAACAGCACTGATGATGTCTTTAACTCCGCTGCCATTGTAGGGCAGGCCTGGCATTCGCATCAACCCTCCAGGGGAGGACATGGAAGAATGAGCCGGGAAGAAACCAAGCGTGTTGGGTGAGCCAGGGGGACTGGGAAAATAAAAAAGAAAATTTTATTTTTATTTTTTATTTAATAACCTTTGATTTAGATCATTCATGTCAAAAACATTTAACACACAAAGGAGGCACTGGAAAGAAAAACATACAACTAGGAGGGGCCTTGGGTGTTGCCTTTAAGTGCTTTTTCAATGACTGACCAGGTAGAAACAGAGGTCACTTTATGTTTACCCAGCTCCCTGATAACACAGCCTTCAGTTATTAACAACCCTTATCCCAGACTTTCTCCTTGAAAAGACACATTTCAACCATAAACAAAACATTCCTATGTTTTCTGCAATTAACATCTTTATTTCTAGTGACCACAGCAGATCTAACTCTGTGAGCAGTCCCTCCACTCTCAACCCCTTTTCAGTCTCTGGCAGGTGTTTTTGTCCTCAACGGCCAATCTGTATTTAGCTTCATCTGTCCTTCCTTCTGAGGGTTAACATTCCCGCAGCATGACGCTTCCACTGTCCAATTTTAAACTGGTAATGGCATGTCTCATTTCTTTTTGCATAAGAAAATAGGACCCCTCCCAAAACTTGGATTTTTGTACAACACATTTTAACATAAAGTTATTTTATAACCATTTAGCAATAATAAATGGTTTAGCTGATATAACTAAAAAAATAAATACATTTCTAAAAGGACTTATGTTCTCTGAAAATTTGGTTTAAATAAACAAAAAGAGGACATATTTGCCATAAATAAAACAAGAATTCTGGGAACATAAACCACCCTGTGAAGCATGAAGATGAAGGTACCTCTGTCCCCCTGCAGCAGCGTGTATGGTGACACCATCACGCTGGGTTAGCGTTGATTACGTCACCAGTGCGACAGAAATTAGGTAAGTAAACAACGGAGAGAAACATCTAAGGAAGCCAGGGCTTAATAAGTGTGCTTGATTTTTTCGGACTTTTGTCTCTCCAAATCCCTCTCACTAGTGTGGTGCCACGTTTAACGAATGTAAACAGAGTTGTTTCGAGCTATTATAACAGATGTGGCTGGCACGGTGTGTTAATGTCCATAAGTTGCGTTCAATGGTGTCACCTAAATTAGTAGGTAAACCTAGGTCTGATGTTCCCACAGCATGCCGATCAGAGCCGAGGCCATTTTAACACCTTGCCGAGTTGTTTGATCCAGATAGACACGCATCAGTGAGCTGTTTCCACTGCCACTAAAAGCCAATTGCTCCCAGGTTTAAACAGGTTTTTCTGCCAGTGGGAAAGGGGTATAAGTTTTATTTTGAATAGAAACTCGAACTTTTGCCTGACACATATTTTCTTCGTTTGATGAGTAAAATAAGTTGAATTGCTTTTTTGCGTTTCATACAGGAAGAAAAGATTGGATCTTTATTTGAATATCTATTTTGAAATGCTTTTTTTTTTTGAAGGGATTTTGATTTGTTTGTTCACACATACACCAGAATTTTGAAGGAACGTGGCTAAAAACTATTAACACAAGCCCTTCTTTCCAAGATTTTCTATAAATTATACATATTTCTGTTTATTTCAAACCACTCCTTTTCTAACCTGGGGTAGTAGGCTGTGTAGTTCATGTACAGTTGAGCTGATGCAGGATAGTAAGCATGTCCTGGATGCAGGGGCCGAGGAGCCAGCAGAACCTGTCCGATCGGAGGGTAGAGAGCAGCAGCAGCTGCAGCAGCAGCATCCGTTGGAAGGATTGGTTGAACCGGGGTGAAGGAGTAAGATGGAGGAGATAAACCTAAAACCACGAAAGAACAGGGAGCAAAAACAAAGCATAAAAACTCCAAAACATTGAAAGAATGTAGAGTCATGGTGGTGAAGTGTGCTCATTGTTTGATGATGAGGGATGAGCTCATACAAACTTGTACACATAACCACTACCGTCTGTACTATGCATGTGAAACCAATAAGTATCCATCTCTAAGTGCAAAATATCCATATAATGTGAAGGAATTTTAACTTTGTTTATACCTTCAGAAATATTTTTTATTTTAATTAAAACAGCTGGGAGTCTTTTCAACTTTACTTCCTTGTATATCAAAGTCTATTTTATATCTCCTGTGTTAACATAAAAAACAACCCGGCAAAACACCAGCAGTAATATAATCTACAGGAAAATAAGTTAAATTAGCATCCATCTGTACTCATCAATGTCTTACATTGATTAGACACAGATTGGAATATTTCAATAAATTATTTTGGTTAAGTTTTCATATTTTTTTTATTGCTTTTAACAGATCCAAATATCTCAAAAAATGAGAATATTGCATAAGTCCCTTGAAAGTATATTTATGTACTTTAAAGTATAAGCACACAATAGTTTTCTGGTGTCTGTGGTTTGTATGAACAACAATCCAAATATGGGGTTAAGTCCATATTTGTGAGTGATGCAGCTTAGTGACATCATGGTCATTAAACCAGCTATTTACACCTGTGGTGGTGTGGGAAGTGTTGAAGCTAGAAATCTGCCCTCCGCCAGTTTGAATTCTGTATCTCTCAACTCGTCTTTCAGACTCTGTGAAGCTGATTTTTTTATGGTTTGCAAATTATCTTTTATTTGAATAGAGGATTTTGGACTCGTGTTCAACAGCCCTCTTTCTCCTCAGCCAAGGTGAGACACTTATAATGTTCTCAGTAGCTCTGTATTGGCTGAATGCAATGAGTGTCACAGTTGTAGCTCGTGTTCTGAGTTTGTAGTCTACCGCATCCACATTTATCCATATTTTGTGAATCAACAAACTTCCATGGGTTTTGCTTCATTATCCTTCCAGAGCCCATTATCACTGCTGCTTACAGGCCTTTTCTACCACACATTTCCCTTCCACTTAACTTTCCATTTATATGCTTGTAATAGCAATCTGCACAGCCAGCTTCATTAAAATGAACAGATATAAAACATTTGCAGTGTATCACTGTTTAATATAGGTAATATAATGTAAAATATAATATTGTCTTTTTATAAAAAGAGAAGGTATATAATGCCTTCATTTTTAAGTTGAATAATTTACTACAGCATATAGTAACTACAGCATGAAATATTTCTGTTTGTGATATAATCTCTTGCACCGTAAATCAGACAGTCATCAACAGTTAAACCAGTTTTAATTGTGAACAGACACTGAGACCAAAGCATATCTATGCACCAGCTTTGCCCACCTTTCGCACAGCTTCTGATTGGACAAGCACAGGAGGTGCACACACACCTGACGTGTGCTTGTCTGTTTAGGCTAAATCCCACAACCACCACTACTGATCTGATGAGATCAGAAAAATGCAAGCATCATTGTCGTATTCTGAGCTTTTTTGGAATTGCCTTGCTTACACTTTTCCAAGCCTTCCAGATCTTTGGGAATCATGTCAGCAGTGGTAAAGGAATTAGAAATGAGTAAAAACATGCCACTGAGAAATTACACTACAGTATCCAATCAGATTGAAAAGTGAAAGAACATATTAAAAATAGTATGATCATTACATGCAAATGGGTGTAGGAATCATTCTTAATTAAAAAAAGGAAAGATTCAACCATACTTACATTGATTCACACACTTTCACAAACATACAGATTTTTAATCTTAGTCCCCCATCCTCCCACAGATCTAGATTGGAGGAAAAAAACAGAAACCCTGCCACCACGGCAGGAGCCCACCTACCCTGCAGTCCCGAAGCAACCCCAGCTCCCAGCAGCACTTACGTCTGGACTTACATGGCGGCGGGCTGAGCCCTGTCCCACTCCTGCTCCGGTTGTGTGTGTGTGTGTGCGTGTGTGAGAGCGAGCCTCCCATCAGCACCAGGCCCATCTCTTCAGCACTGCAGGGAAACACTTCCACATAGCGGCTGTTGGCCCCACGTTGGCTGGACATGACATGCTTGTGAAGCCGCTGTGATGCCTGGAGTGCCCGTTCAGCCGAAGTCATCTGGATGAAGCAGTCGCCTGATGGGCGACCCTGCAGGAACAGAGGATTGAGGTATTGCTTCATATAACATATGTCAGAAAGTCTTTTATCATAAGCAAGGAGATAACTTGTCAAGTTTGAAGATGTACACAAACAGAAAAACAGATAGCTGCCATAGTTTTGCTCAATACAGATTCTCTCTCTCACAGAGAAAGCAAATTATTATGCCTATTATTCTGTCTATGTGTACCATGCAGATATTTGACACTTTCTAGGTTTGTCACAACTGTTAGACAGAAACACACACATGATTACTCCTACACATACTGTAAAACCCCTGCTGAAAATCAAACAGATCATCAGTTCATTGTACAGACTGGACTGGTACCAGCCGTACTCTATGTACATATTAGAGGCAAGGGGTGACAGAGAATCCCAGAAGCCTACCGGTACTCATACTTTTATCATACGCATCATCTTCCTATCATGCGGAACTGGGTTGCAGTCTCAGCAGAAACTCCCAGACTTCCCACTCCAAGTCATCTACTTCCCAAGGTAGCCTGAGGCTTTCCTGGGTCCTCCCGTTGGCCTCCTTCCTATGGGATGTGCCTGGAACATCTCTCAAAGGAGGCAAAAAAAAGATGTCTAATCCACTTCAGCTGACTTCTCTTGATGTTGAGGAGAGGCGGCTCTACTAAAAGCTTCTTCCAGATAAGAGTTCCTCACCCTATCTCTACGGGGGAGCCAAGCCACTATGCTGTTCTTTACGTCATGTTCGAAATTTTAAGGCCATATGTGAGGGTTTGGAACATAAACCGACTGGTAAATCAAAAGTTTTGCCTTTTGACTCAGCTCTCTCTCTTCAACACAACACACCAGTGCAGCATTATGGTGTCACATTGATTTCAAAAAGCACGCGAGCAAAATAAACATACTCGCAAGTATGTTAAACTACTTCTGTGCATGGTTTATCTACCACCACACAACAAAATCACAAATGAGAAAGGATTTGCCACTCTGAGAGCAGAAAATCACTGTTGGCGCATGACAGCTCCTCCCACGCACGCTTGGGAGGGGTTTAACTGACCGGCCTCAAGTAAAGGGTCCCCTACTCTGTGCCCCTGAAGCACCCTCCACAGGGTACTACAAGAGACACTGTTGCATACATATGAGGAGTGGCTGGACAACCCCCCATGAACCCTCAAATGCCCTGCAGAGAGTTTAGAGCTGATTCAGTGTTCCACGGCCAGGACGAAAATCCCACTGCTACACCTGAAGCCAAGGTTCGTCAATCGGCCAGAGTCTCCAGCACCCTGGCATAAGCCTTCTCAGGGAGACCTAGAAGTTAGATCCCGTTACAGTTGGAACACACCCTGTAACACCTCATCTTATGCAGGGGTACCACCACCCCTCTCTTCAAGCCCAGAGCCACTGTCCAGGCCCAACAAGAACAACAACAACCACCAGAGACTTAAGCCGTGCCAGTTTCCAAAGCCTTGCAATAAGACAGACAGCTGACAAAGCTTTTTGAAGGGCTTTTAAAATCAATGAAATATGTGCCTTAGTTACGAAAAAAATAAATAAATCATTATACACTCATTAATACCATGATTGATTATTTCTTTACACTTATACTCATACATTGATAAAATACCTTGGGAGACACAGAGTTTACCATGGTGGCAAGGCAGGGGAATGGAGATATACTCGGGGAAATGTTTGTGATGCTTGTTAAGCAGGGCTAGTCCATATTTCGTAATGAGTTTATCATGGTTTATGCTGAAATATTAAAACATTTTTTCTAGTTCAACTTGGAGAGACAAATAACAAATAGCACTCTCAAAAGAACAACAGTTGTGTCTTGCAATGAGAATATATTTTTTCTTGAGTCTATGATGTTGTAAATTTGTGCCAGAAGGTATATGAGGAAAGGGCGTACCTGCTGGTTTAGCACCATGTGAACGCCATGTTGTCTGACATCTTGTGTAAACTCCCCAAGAAAGGTGAGAATGTCCTCGATACTCGCCGTGTACGGTAGGCCCCTCAGCCGGAGGCAGTCCCTGACACTACCGGGAGGTGGCAGGAGAGGCACTGAGGGCATTATCGACACCAGGGGGGGTGGTGCCACAGGAATCAGAGGGGCTGAGGAGTACCGGTTCAACACCTAAAAGACACACGTTTTGAATTAAATACCCAACTTGAAGTTTGCTTTCTGAATCAGGATTTCCCTATTTGCCTGCGATGCTCTTAGATAAAGCAATCAAATAATAACTAAAACTGTCATTAGTTAAAACCCAACAATGAAACACCTACATGGCAGTATCTAAGAGGCAAAGAAAGCCAAGGCAATGCTGTGTTTAAATATGTAGCACTGTCAAACAGGAGTTGGCCAGCAGCCAACAGGACACCAACATGTTTGCATTTCTAGAGAAGACAGATAAAGGCCCCACAGTCTCACATATATTTGAAAGCATGAGAAAAGCCTTCTGCATAGATATACTGATGTGCTGTAGGCACAAAGATAGGAAAATAAACATTAGCACCTTATTATGACAGGGTAGAGCATTGCAGGATACAGAGAAGGAAGGAGTCTGTTTACCAACACACAGATAGGAAATACCGTACACCTTGTTATGCAGGTCTGCAACTTTAAGGTTTAGTTAAGGTAAAGTCAGAAAGCCTTACACTGCAAAAATATACAGTAACCACAGTCATAAACATAAAAATGACCCCTTCTTGGTTTCTAAAAAGGTACGGCCGGATAAAACAACTAACAAAAATTGTTTAACTTTCTAATACTTTTTCCTGTCATCTTTGTCTGTTACAAAATGTCATGGTAGCAGCCTTAACTATGTGTTACATCTTATGCCTATAGTTTCATAAAGTTAAATATGTGGAATCACTATTTTCCCACCATTTTTCCTTGGTAGAAGAGAAAATCTTCCACCAACACCACACAGCAACCAGAGCAAGCATGTTATTTGTCTATACTGCCAGTAACACTGAATATATTTTCATGACAAACCCCAACATACCTGTTGGACCTCTGCTGCTGTGCTTTTAAACAACTCAATGTATCTCTTGCCCAGGAGTTCCTTGTGTTTCCTCAGAGCGCACTGAGCGTGTTCCTCACAGGCAAACAACACAAAAGCATCTCCAGTTGGTCGTCCATCTGGGTAGCGGACAAACAGGATCCCTTCCTTCCCTCCACTAATGGGACAAGTCTCTTTCAAATCATCCTCTGGCGAAAAAAATCTGAGCACGTCGTCATGTGTGGCATTGAAGGGAAGCCCTCGCATCCTTACTATGATTTGGTCCTCACGGGACAGAAACATTGCCACCTCATTAGAGGTACCTGAGGGGAAACAAAAAAGTGGAGATTTGTTGAAACTCACGACATTATATTCTTCCTTGTAGACTTTATTATAGATTTTGTGGCAGCAGTGTTTATTATTCCTTAGCAGCCGGACAGAAGGAAGGATTGAAAGAGAAGTGGAAGACATGAAGCACAGTTACTGACAATGGTCAGTTAATGACCATGGTCCAGGGATTGCATAAGACACAGCTGTGTCAAAGACTGTAGCCTCTATATGGTGTCAGCTCTTCCACCAAACTTAAACTCAATTTTACATTGTTTGAAAACTTCTTCAAGCATGTTACCATGAATTCAGTACAACTAGTGAAAGCCCAGCAATGCAAATAAGATGCAGCAATACCCATTTTCATTATCTTGACTTACCAAAAGCTGTTATTAACATAATTATCAAATGTCAATGCTGAGTCATACTGAAAATTCAATCTGCAAATTAGGTTTCCCCTTCAATGATGGGTGAACAAAAAACAACCCTAATGGATCTGAAAATGTTAATCATTGAGCTACTGTTTACCAAAGTGCCTGACATTCTAAAACTTGGGCATAATATCAACTACATGTTTTTCATAAGTTTGAGCATACTACTGTTACCAGCATATGTGTACAGGATTTAAATCAATCAAGTCTTTCGTTATTACTACAAATAGGAAACCTGCAGGAAAACAAAATAATATTTAAATAAAGCTGCATGTATTCCCCTTTGCAAGGGCCACAATCTTTTAAAAAGGGCATGGAAATCAGGACTAACATATGGCTTCATATACTGGTTTCATATTTGAGGAAGTGGAACTTACTCTAAGCTGAAAGCTGAAATAATAATAATAATAATAATAATAATAATAATAATAATAATAATAATAATAATAATAATAATAATAATAATAATAATAAACATTTTTCAATTATATGAAGCTAATTCTCACCTGTATTACTTGATCTGTATAAAGAAATACTAATATTTGATATATTTTTGGTCTATAAAGGGTAGCAAAGTACCTAAAAAGGCAATAAACTAAAATAATCAAATTTAGGTTTTGGACATGTACAGTTTTGATTAAAAATAGCAATACACACATAATAAATATACTAACTATATAGTTTATTTATTATATCATAATTATTCCGGTAACCTATCCATATATGTGATAAATTATATTAATTTTACCTTGTGTATATAATTGTTTCATTATAGATATATTTTTGTATATAATCATGTTGAATGAATGGCTAAAAGTTCCACCATCATGCAAAGAAATATCCATATATAAAAATGTTAAAGTAAGACAGCATAATATATAACAGCTTAATTACATTTAGATAACAGAATTTATTTATATATATTTTTCATGTTGTATTACTTTTCAGTTAAAATCATATTTAGTAATATAAAACATTCATTCTAAATTTGAAAATTTCATGTGCCATTTTATTATGAATTAATTATCTATCACAAAGAGATCATTACATTGGACAATGAACTATTAGATCACTAAATAAAAACTAAAATATTGATGGGTGAATTTCAATGTTTTATCATATACTTTTCCTTTACATGAAGTTCTTTTTTACTTTTGAATGTATTTACCTGAACGTACGTATTACATTTTTGTATCTTTCACCTTATTGCAATTTCTTCTACCGCATTTTTTATTTTAGCAACTTACCTAGTTACTTAAATTCCCCTAAATACACATGATCCTTTTGAAAAATATCAACAAAAAATGAACATATGAGTGCCTCACCTCCTGCTATCTTCAGGAAGTCTTCTCCTGTTGCTTTATAAACCTGTTAATAAAAAATAACATTTTGGCTGATTAGTGCCTGTAAAAAGGTATCATAAATGAATGAATGAGCGGGTTATAGTCTTCATGATGTGCTTACAGACCAGTTACCTCAATATATCTGTTGCCCATATGGTGTTTGTGCCTCTGCAAGGCTAAGTCTCTGTGCTCTTCACTGACAAAACGTACAAGTGCTTCTCCATTTCTCCTCCCCTGAGCATTAAGACACAGTGCAGCTCCTCCTCTGTAAAATACATCATGTAAATAGATGAACAATCATATGATCGATAGCAGTGCAACTGCATTACTACAAGTAACGCAAGATCAACCCAGAAACAAGCTTCTACAAATGTGTTCCAGATCTACAACATACTTGGCGATGTTGAGGCCTTTGAAGAATCGAGCGATGTCCTGGTCAGAAGACTGCCATGGCAACCCTCTGGCTCTGATCACTGTGTTGTCGCACACCTTCTCCATTTTACTGCTGTAGAAAAACATATCACAAATGATTTTTTTTTAAAACAACACAGGAAAACAGTCTAGGTTGATTTAAATGTTAGAAAGCAACAAAAACCTGCTTTCTGACTCACTTACCAAGTGCCACTTTCAAATCTCTCACTAACTCTCTCTGGGTTAGAAAATCTGTGACCTAGAATGAGACAGCAATGAATAATCAAATACAGCCAATAACTGTTTCCGCTTAAAATGCTAAAACCTGTACATTTCTTGCTTTCTATCTTAAACTATTCTATGGGCAAAAGTATGTTGCATCTATTTTATTCTAATTACAAGATCTCTACAAAGAATCAATACTGCACTAATCTTCAGGGATATACAGAAGACATTTGAACAATTGTTAAATAAATCAGCTACTTTTTTCTAATTTCTCCTTTTATATATATAAAAAATATATTTAGGCACATATAGGCATGAAGGTAATAACCTGAAGATCCTTTCACATTTTCACTATAGAGTGCATTGAGTGGGAGGCTTTCATCCTTGTTGAAAATGTACATGTTAATGTTTTAGTTAAAAGCTTTAATGCACCCAGACTTTGTTTAGTACATCACTTTGTGGAAGAATGAGGAAAGCGATTTTGACAGAAAGCAAAAACAAAAAAAAACATTTGATTTGCTGACAAGCCATACAGGGGACACAGCGAACATGTAGATGGATGTGCCCTGATCAGATGAGATCAAAATATAACTTTTTGGTGTAAAGTGCTATGTGGAGAGGAAATCTGAGGGAACACATGACCACCAAGGTGAAATGTGGTGATGGCAGCATCAAGGTAAAGGAAACTATTTTATTTAGAGGGGATGGAAAAAGTGGTCAGAGCTGCTGAGAAGACGGATGGTCATGGCAAACTGGAGGAAAACATGTTAGAGGCTGCAAAAGACCATATGGGCAAAGGTTCACCTTCCAGTATAAGTCAGAGCCACCACAGAACAGTTTCAATGAATGCATATTCCTGTATTAAAAAAAAATGCCCCATCAAATTCCAGAGTTAAATCCATTGAAGGTTGAGCACAGAACAAGGAGCAGAATTCTTGGTCTCTCCTTAAGGCCTCGTCGCAAAAGGTACATTGACTTTCGGAACAAATAACAATGCACAATACTTTGTTTATTGTGATTTGTTAAACATTTTAACACTAGGCATGATTTATTTTTAGTAATTGGGTGGTTTAGGTTCTGTTATCTGTCATGCATTGCTTTTTTCACAGTAATGTGGAAGTCTGTTTTTTCTTTTTTAAATTTCAAGCTTTTTGTTCTTTCTGTGTGCAAAATAATGAAATATCTCAAAGACGGATGTTTGAAAGAAAAATCATTATTAAACAGTTTGTGTCTCAGCTTTAATTTCTTATAATCAATAGTTCAATTCTCTTCTACAGTAATCACCGATTTGTTTTGTCGAAGGTACAATCTTTCCCTCTACCTCTCATGCAGTACTTACAGTATGGCTCAGAGAGCAAAGCGAGAATGATGTTGCTCATAAGCCGGACCTGCTTGACAGCTACTTCCGCAGGGAGAACCGTCAGCGGTTCCTGATTGGCTGTGGGATCCCACACAGTGGGTATGTCGACAGGTATGCTTAGAGCTGATGAGGGCCCAGTTAAGGAGTGAATTCATCAATACAGGCAGGTGCTTTAAAGGAAAAAATGTCAGGGAGCATGTCTGGTTTGGTGACTAGAAACACCAACCTGTCAGGTTTTCTGTACCACTGGGTGTGTGAGGTTAGCCCCATTGGCCAAACACACAGTCTTTCTCTTGTGGCTTAGCAAATGCTGCCATTCTTTCCTTATTTGCATTTCAAAACCTCTTACACTGCAGCTAACACCCTGTCTTTAAACCTCTAATGAGGTATTTCTGCATGTAAAATGTACGCACCAGCTTTAACTAAAAGAAGAAAACAACAAACACATTTAGAGTAAAGTAAAAATAATTTGAGCTGTTTCTACTTTTCTTTCACTCTTACATGCCAAAGATCAAACTTTTGAATTCATAAGAACTCGCGGACACGGTAATACAAAATTCAGTTTGCAAACGATTCTTTTCTTAAGGAAAAAAAAGTCTTCAATTTAGACTTTTCTTTTGCTTTTTTAGCATTTATACTATATACTTTATGTAAAGCTTTGGATAATTCACTTTCTGTATAACCAAAATCTGCTTAGACTTATGGCCTGGCGTTCTCATTCAGCATGTTTGGCATGTTGGGGCTAAAGCAGCAAAGTTTCTTGATACCATCACTCTATCACTGCCGCATCTGTTAGCTTAAATTCCTTTATTGTCTCATCAGAATATTTTGGAGATCATTAAGATGATTTTTGACAAATGTGACACAAGCATTAACAGCCAGAAGTTGCCTGAAACTCCAATTATTTATATTTTAGCTAAATATATCTTTTTTTGTCGAATAAGTGGAACTGTTCTGCTATGAAATCATTTTTGACATCAGCATAATGACTTGTTGTTTGATCTTTGAGCCTAGTTTATGTCGTCAGACAGGTCCTGCTTAATCACTTTCATGATTCTACAAGTCTAGCAATAGTAAAGTCTTGGTGTGGCTAATGAAACTGAACCTAAAAAAAATTTGTAGTTAAGCACAGGTAATTTAATTTAAAAATAGAGACAATTATACTTATTGTTTGGTTAGGTTTTTTTTTCTCTTAATGAATACACTTTCAAAAGAAAAATACTATACCTGCTATTTCTTTTTTTTTTTTTTTTAGTTTTAAAACATTGTGACAGAAAATCAAGCAGAAATATGTACAGAGACGAATATTGTTTTGTCACTATTTTAAACCCAGAAGCATTTCTGTAAAGGATACACTCTGCCATGACGAGTGCATTCAGAGCCTTGAGGTCAGAGGTGGGGAAGTGGTTCTTGAACTCCTTCCGTAAGTCGAAGAAGGAGTAGAAAAAGTCTGGGACCAGGATGTTCTATAAAGAGGGAAGAAATTCAGAGAAAGGATGTGAAAATGTAGCCCGTCAGCAGCTGCTGTTTTATTACATTCATCTTATTCGTGTTTGCCCAGGCCAACATGGTACACACTGCTTTCAGTTTTACAACTGCCATTTGTGTAACAGATGTGGGAGAATGCTTTCAGCTTCTGCTTGTGCACAGGTGTTGTACGGTATGTTCAAGGGGCGTGTGTCATTGGACAGGTTGACAGTAATTCGACTGAGATCCACCCTGGAGGTTCCTGCAGTTGGGAGGCATTCAGTCAACCCAGCTCACTTACCTTGCTGGCGGCCTCAGGGTGAATCACTTGACGGATGTGGAGCTGCCCGTCTGTACACAAACAGAACGACGTGCCTGCGCCCGCACTGTTCACCTCATTTGTCAGCTGCAGATTGAACTGAAAAAAATAAATAAATATATATATAAAAATAGCATCTTACTGGAAGAAAACTAAGAAGTTAATCAGTGAAGATTCTAGTGATTTGTTATTACCATGTTTATACCACTGTCAAGACTGGTTGCTGTGTAGACACGGTCTGCTCCGGAGGCAGTCTCGTCCTCCTCCTTGCACTCAACCACAACATCTTCCTCAGTTTTTTCCTCTGTGGAGTCTGAGAGGTCTGACCTAATGAGGAGCTCATTCACCCTGCCCAACTGGTTCAGGAACAGAAAACAAGTCAGTCCTGAAACAGTCGTTCACAAAAGGAACCTATATGGTATCATAGCACAGATCTAAAGGACCATGCCTACAATCACGAAAGACATAATCATTAAATATATATCAAATTATCATGGGCCTGTTAGTTTTAATCAATATGCATGTTTTGCCTCCTTAAACATAAACTTAATTGTTTATCTGCTGCTTTAGATTTAAATTCAGAAATTAAAGGGAAAAAGAGACAAAAACAGACATTTCATGCAATAGTTGTTATCAGTCTTAACAGGGTTTAAGTTAGAGTTTAGTTTAATTATCCACATATTTGATTTCCTGGTTAACCACAGCAATAACTATGTAGTAAAAGGTGTTTTTGTTGCGTTATGTTACCGTTTTGTTGTTCACATTGACCAGCTGCCAGACCACCTGGACTAGATCCTTCTCGTCAGAACCCAGCAGCTCTCCGCTCGCTCCAGATGTGGCGGTGAAAACCACCACCAGGTAGTCTACCTGCGCCGTCATCTAAACGAACACGAGCCTCAATAAAGAAAAACTAAGGTGATACTACACTGATCTGATGGACAGAACGGGGAGATATATATAAGGCTGAAACACCGAGGAGGAATCAACCAATTTTATTGCGACACCTGAGCGAAAAGCTGATCGTAGTAAATCCAGAAAGTTTGATCCCTCTCAGGGCCTGCTCTTGTCACCATCGCGGAGTAATGGCTGATCGGTCATCGCTTTTGTAGCGCTTCTTACCTGTCTGACCACGTGACTGCATACCTGCTGGCCCCGCCCACTTTCAGGTGCAGTGGAGGTTAGGACGTGGCAAAGAGCGGAGGACTGTGAAATGTTTCTATAGCTCTCTGCAACATTTCAGCTCTGCTCTTTCAAGGTTCCAATGTCTTTCTTTCTTTCTTTCTTTCTTTCTTTCTTTCTTTCTTTCTTTCTTTCTTTCTTTCTTTCTTTCTTTCTTTCTTTACTTTACTTTACTTTACTTTACTTTACTTTACTTTACTTTACTTTACTTTACTTTACTTTATGAAATGAAGTGAAATGAAATTAAATGAAATGATTACACATGTAAAATTCATATCCAGAACAAATTCGTGTTAAGAAGTTAACTTTACTACCGGCTGAATATATGGAAAATGTATTTCTCATAACATAAGTAGAACTCCCTTATTCTAAATAAAGTCTATTCACAGCCATATAGAGTACAACTTAATTACTAAGCATAATGAATACATTGGTAGCTACTTCTACTAATACTACTGGCCTGCTGCTGCACCTACAACAACTACTGGTATTACTACTA